ATAAATAAATTATATATATTTATTATTTTTTATATTTTTATTTATTATATTTTTTTGTTAAACTTTATTTTGTTTGTAAGATTTGACAAAAATGAGACTTTGATTAGAAACAATTTCAACTTGTTGAAATTTTTTATTATCAAGTCGAGGTGTTTGTCATATCATAATAAACAAACTGATAAAAAAATGAAGCTTGATTCTTCTTGAAGAATGAAAAAGTGCAGAGCATCATTCAGGAAATAAAGATGTGGTTTGAAGTATGACAATTTTCTGGCTGGTAGCCAAGAAAATTGTCTTTGATAATTATTTTTTATTTAGTTTTTGATTATTTACATATAGTGAAATTTTTTACAAGAATTAAAATGTAATATGTATTGAACGATTGGGAGGTGAGGGTCCAATCAAAAATATATATTAAATGTTGATTCATATTCAAAATGTTATAAATTTAAAAGATTGTTAAAAATTAATCCCATCAAAAGCACATGTGAGGCTAGCAAAAGCAAAAAAAAGAAGCATGCTGCAAGCCAATAAAATTTATAAATTTTTTTTTTGAATTTGACTCAGAGATTTTTATTAAGTTAATATCTAAATAAATATAAAAATTTATCATTGGTTTATAATTTTTTTTCTTTTATAGCTTGTGAAACCTTAGAGTTGTTGCATTTTACAATGTTAATTTCATTTTATTTAATTATTTTTTGCTAAGTGCAAAATTTCAATGTTACTTATGTAAAGATAAATAAGTTGTATTTGCTGCTAAATATATAATAGTACTAGTATTATCACAAAAACTTTATTCTATAAAATTTATATAAATTAATAAAAATATTTAATTAAAATTAATTTAATAATTATAATACCTAGAGATGATAAACTATTTAATTTTGCATAATTTGTTATAAAAGTAAGAATTTTTATTACTGTTTCAAATAATATTGCCTGATTTCCTATTTTATCTATTTTGAAATTTTTTTTTAAATTTATATCATTTTTTCCAAAATATTTTCTTAAATTTTTTTATTTTTTGTTTTCAGGTCTATAAATTATTTTAAAAATATTAAAACAAGTTGGTTTTCTTTCAAAAATATATTCTGTAGAAAGTTTGATTTTTTTTAAATTTCTAACTACCTCAGGTTATTTAGTAGCAGAAATAATATCTAATAAATATATATCTTGAAAAGATTTAGAAAGTTTTTTGAAATTTAAATGTCTTAATAAACCTATTGAATAATTACATTAAGTTTGTAAACAATTTTTTTCACAACATTCTTTATTAAAAAATTCTTTAAATTCATTATTTTGTAATAAATTAATTTCATCATCTAAATTTTGATTATTATTTTCTTGTTCTTTTAAAATATTTTTTGTTTTATAATATAATATTTTAAATTTAGAAATTTCTTTTTTAGTCAAAATTTCATTTTCTAAAAGATTATTTTCTGAAATTTCTTAAATTTCAGAATTATTTAATAAAGATAAATTATTTTCTTCATCTAAATATTAAAATTGCAAATTTGAAAGATCAGTTTGCAATTAAGTATTTTCTTTATGAGTTTCTTCAAAAATACTTTTGTTTAAAAAAAAATTATTTATTTTTGTAAAATAAAATTTAAATTTTAAGTAAAATTAAATTTAAATAATTTTAAGTAAAATTAAATTTAAATAATTTTAAATAAAATATTTTATATTTATATATTTGAAATATCAAAAATATACAAAATTTAACTATAAAATACATAAGTAAATAAAGATAAATATCATAGTGTTTTAAATATATTATATAATCAAAAGAACAATATGTACAACTAATTAAAAAAAATTTATTATATAATCAAAAGAACAATACAACTAATTAAAAAAAAATTATTGCAGTTTCTATAAATGTACATAATATAAAAATAAAATTCTATTGTTTCATATCTTAATAATTATTCAATCATACAATATTATATAAAAAAATATATATATTTATTTCATTCTACATATCAAAGATGATTACACAATATAAACTTTATTTATTATAAAATTCAATATATATGTAAAGAAAAAAATGTGATCACAAGAAAATTCGTCAACTGAAAATCACTTTTAGCATTTTACTGAAGAACCTTCTTGTAGTCCTCTAGGCTGAAAACCACAAGAAATTTTATCAATAAAACATCGAAAGACCCAAAAACAGTTCAAATGCAAAAAAACCCAAAGAGCATACCAGTGAAACATCAAAAGATAAGAATAAAATTAGAAAACTTGGGAGACTAAAGAAAATTAGTAAGCCAGAAGGACAAAAAGAAAAATCAACACAATTAAGATTGTCAAAAAGCCAGAAGACCAGAGAAAATCACAAGAAATTTCATCAAAAATTATCGAAAGACAAAGAAAATTAATTAATTAGTAAAATCTGTAAAAACAGAAAATAAACTAACAACACAATTAAATTACCAGAAGCCAGAATATCAGAGAAGACCACAAGAAATTTCACCAGAAATTGCTGAAAGGCCTAACGACATAAAATTAATTAACAAAATCTAGATAAATAGAAAAAAAAACTAACAACATAATTAAACCTATCAGAAAAGCCAGGAGACTACAAGAAAATTTCACTAAAAATCATCAAAAAATCTAAAGACAGAAAATTAATTAGTAAAATCTGAAAGAACAGAAAAAAAACTAATTAAAATTAGCAGAAAACTGAAATACTAAGAGAGATCACAAGAAATTTTACCAGAAATGCTGAAAGACCTAAAAATAAAGAAAATTAATTAGTAAAATTCAGATAAACAGAAAAAAACCAACAACATAATTAAATCTATCAGAAAAGTCAGAAGACTACAAGAAATTTCACTGAAAAACCTAAAGACAGAAAATTAATTAGTAAAATTCAGATAAACAGAAAAAAAACCAACAATATAATTAAACCTATCAGAAAAGCCAGGAGACTACAAGAAATTTCACTAAAAATTATTGAAAAACCTAAAAACAGAAAATTAATTAGTAAAATCTGAAAGAACGGAAAAAAAACTAATTAAAATTAGCAGAAACCAGAATACCAAAAGAGACCACAAGAAATTTTACCAGAAATGCTAAAAGACCTAAAGACAAAAAAAATTAATTAGTAAAATCTGAATAAACAGAAAAAAAACAACAACATAATTAAACCTATCAGAAAAGCTAGAAGACTACAAGAAATTTCAATGAAAAATCTAAAGACAAAAAATTAATTAGTAAAATCTGAATAAACAGAAAAAAACCAACAACATAATTAAAACCTACCAAAAAAGCCAGAAAACCATAAGAAATTTTACCAAAAATCATCGAAAAACCTAAAGATAAAAAATTAATTAGTAAAATCTGAAAGAATCTCAACAATACAATTAAAATTAGCAGAAAACTGGAATACCAAGAGAGACCACAAGAAATTTCACCAGAAATGCTGAATGACCTAAAGACAAAGAAATTTAATTAGTAAAATCCAGATAAATAGAAAAAAAACAACAACATAATTAAACCTATCAGAAAAGCCGGGAAACCACAAGAAATTTCACTGAAAAACCTAAAGACAGAAAATTAATTAGTAAAATCTGGATAAACAGAAAAAAAACCAACAACATAATTAAACCTACCAGAAAAGCTGGGAGACCACAAGAAATTTCACCAAAAATCGTCAAAAAACCTAAAAACAGAAAATTAATTAGTAAAATCCAGAAAAACCCCAACAATACAATTAAAATTAGCAGAAAACTGGAATACCAAGAGAGACCACAAAAAATTTCACCAGAAATGCCGAATGACCTAAAGACAAAGAAAATTAATTAGTAAAATCTGGATAAACAGAAAAAAAACCAACAACATAATTAAACATACCAGAAAAGCCGGAAAACCAGGGGAGACCACAAGAAGTTTCACCAAAAATCATTGAAAAACCTAAAGACAGAATATTAATTAGTAAAATCCGAAAAAACAGAAAAAACCCCCAACAACACAATTAAAATTAACAGAAAGCCAGAATACCAGGGGAGACTACAAGAAATTTCACCAGAAATCGCCGAATGACCTAAAGACAAAGAAAATTAATTAGTAAAATCCGGAAAACCAGAAAAAAACTAACACAACTAAAATTACCAAAAAAGCTGAAGACCACAAGAAATTTCACTAAAAATTGTCGAAAAACCTGAAGACAGAAAATTAATTAGTAAAATCCAGAAGAACAGAAAAAACCCCCTAACAACACAATTAAACTTACCAGAAAGTCGGAATACTAGGGGAGATCACAAGAAATTTCACCAGAAATCATCAAAAGACCTGAAGACAATGAAAATTAGTAAAATCCAGAAGTACAGGAAAAAAAACAAACAATAAAGTTGCTGGAAAGCCAGAAGACCAGAGGAGACCACAAGAAATTTCAGCAGAAATTGCTGAAAACCCTAAAGACAATGAACTTCCTTCATAATAATAAAAATTTTTAAATACTTCATTTCATAGATCAGCACCACAAGTCTCTTCTGTCATTCAAACAAACTCGCTACCACATTTGCAAGAATTTCATGAAAACAGAAAAAAAAACCAACACAATTAAAATTACCAAAAAAGTGAAAGACCACAAGAAATTTCACCAGAACTCGCCAAAAGGCCTAAAGACAGAAAATTAATTAGTAAAATCCGAAAGAACAGAAAAAAAACAATTAAAATTACCAATAAGCTGGAAGACTAGAGGAGACCACAAGAAGTTTTACCAGAAAATCATTGAAACATATAATTAAAATCGAAAGACTGAGGGAGAGATTAGGGAGGGAGACCACAAGAAATTTCATCAGAAAATTGCTGAAAGACCTGAAAATAAAGAAATTCGTTAGTATAATGCCAAAAGAAAGAAAAAAAACAACAATAAACCAAAAAAAAATCAAAAATGCTAAAATCAGAAAACCCAATTTAATAAACTTTGTATTTAAGAAAAGAATTTGTGTTTAAACGAAAACTTTGTGGTTAGCGTTAGATGTTACTTTAACTTTTCAAAGATCTACATTTCTAGAATTTTTTATTAGATTCTTGAAGATCCATACATTGTTAATTTCTATTTTTAGATTTTTATAATGGTTTTAGTTTTTTGTGTCTCACCGATTTTCTTATTATGTAATGTGTACTTGTGACTTATAGTAAATCTTTTCTTTGAATACATATTTATTGAAAAATAAAATAAATAAAAAAATTTTAAAAATATAAAAATGGTCCCTTTTCATATGAGACACCCCAATATTCTGAAATTTATATACAAATAGAACAATTTTTTACTAATATTTTTTCATTTTATACTCAAAAAAGTCATTAAATTTTTTATAAATTTCTATTTAGTAATTGTAAAAAGTAAATATCAAGTAATAAAAATTATTGTAATTATATAGAAATTTCAGAATATATGTATTTTGATCTTCTGAACAACTTTATATAATAGCATATAATTGATTTGCTTAATAAATTTTTATTTTGCTATAGAGTACTTATTATAAATTAATTAAAAAAACAGTTATTATAAAATGCTTCAGACTTATACTGGTTTCCAGTTCCTAGTTTATGTTTCACATTGTTTATGTTTTACAAGTATCAACATAGAGATTCTACAGATTCTACAACAGGGTTTAAATCACCAGCCTAATAAATTTCGCTAGCCAATCAGATTTCGAAATCAGGTGTAACGTGAAAAAAGTTCAAGAAACAAAAATAAGTCAAAAATCGCCCATAACTCGAAATTTTACCTATGCAACTGCCTTCTGTATACTAATAAAAAGTTTTCCTTGCAAAATTTTGGTATAACTATGACCCTCTAAATCCAACTCATAGCGATACCCTAAACCTAACCTAAGAGCGAAATGTTTTTTTTCTTAGCGAAATTTTTTTAATGGGATCACATAATAGCGAAATTTTTTAGACTGGCATTGCTAGTCTCATAGATTCAACCATGCGACTAAGTCTTCTGATTGGTTGATATTGACTAACCTAACACAAAAATACACTACTGAATATAGATTCATTCAGATCGTAACCCTCGCGTATTCCCCTTCATTTATCTATTGAAACAAGACAGCTCTCAAAATTGGCTTCTTTACCTCAAAATTCAATACGAACAACTCAAGATTTACTGATTACGAAGAAGAATTTTAGGAAGACGTTGCGATTGGAAACCTGAGTTCACAAAAAACATACAAAAGAAAGGTGCAAAATGGATAGCACCAAAAAGTTGCACCGTGAGTCTTTACTGTTTTTAATTTATATTAAGCTCTTAAAAGTTGTTTTTTCTAATAGTGATTCCTTTTCTAGGCACTAGATATATTAAAAAATTATTATAAGGAAACCAAAGAACTTTTCATGTCAACGTCATTGCCTGAACTAGATATAGCGTTAGGCAGAGGTATACCATGCTCATCCTTGACAGAAATTGTGGGACCCACAAATTTCGGTAAGACTCAATTCTGTCTTACACTATCAATTCTTGCCACATTACCTGCTTGCATGAATGGTCTTGGCGGAGGAACATGCTATATAAGTACTCAAGACGCTTTCCCTGCGGAAAGGAATTTTTAAGGTCTTTTTTGGATATTTTAAACATGATTATCATTTTAAGATTTATAGAAATCACAAAGTATAGATTCCCATTCATTTTGGTGATGAAATCCACAATGTCAGGATAATCTGAAAACAATAACCGATGCAGTTCATTTAATGAAAGTCAAAATTCTAAAAAAAAATAACAAATTTATTTTCTGTTGAAATTTATTTTATTATTTCCTTATTATAAAATGTATTCCTGGATATTGATTTTTTTGATAGATTAGAGAATTTTCGAGAATTCATTATCGAGAAAAATATTAGATTATCAATAATCGATTCATTTGGGACACTTATAAAAAAGGAATTTATTAGTCAAAAAAGATTCCTTAGACGATTATTAGTTAAATTTGCCGCATGGTTAAAGTAGGTAATCATAGCATTTTCATAATGTGTATAAAATCAATGGTATCTATTACAATATCGATTATTATTGGCAATAACATTTTCGATCTTGATGTAAAATCCTTCAAGCAATTTTTAGCACATGATTCAATAAAAAAAAAAAAGAAAAGCCTAGAGCACATTATCTACAAAAACTTGAAATAACGAACATGGACGTTATTTCGAAGCCAAATCCTTTAAAAATGGTATGCTTGGTTCCAAATAAGCCTACGGGCGTCCCGAAATAACGCACGCTTTATATAATATATGGATTATATATTGTATAGTAATAAATAGGCTCAAAGAATTGGCTTTTGTCTCAAAATAACGCACATGACGTACTCAAAATAACAAACACCCATTATTTCGAGTTTTTACGTACCGATTGTATTACAAGACCATGACCATTCCAATATCTTAAAATTCTTTAAGATCATTAAATAAAACTTATTACCACCAGAAGCCCATCTATTCAATCATAACCTGATCTCGGTTTATAAATCCATTCCTGGTTAGTTTTGCGCGTACTCACAACTTCAACACCTCTTGCTCGCGTTTTGACGAAAGTTTTGATCATTTGTAAGCAATACAACTGCCTCATTATTATTGCCTTCTTTTCCTGATTTGTTATGAAAACCGTTATCCCCGTGATTCTTGGTATGCCACAAACAGATGCCAAGAATAAGATCATCAAAAATTTTCTTTTTATCTTCACCATCACCAAAATCAAATTCTTCACTAAAGTTAATTCGAGATACATAACTGCCTTTACTTGTCTGAACTCCGAGTTTTTTTAGACAATAATAAAGCTTGTTCAAGATAAGTAATTGCCTCGGATACTGCAGTGCCAAGAGGAGGTGGGTTAAGTTTTAACCCATCCAATTCCGTGATAACTATGAGAATAAGAAAAAAATCAAATAAATAAAATGAAATAAACTAGAATAAAACTCAAGTGTTTCTATTATATTAACTAGTGTTCTGATCCTCTAAGTGGATCCGAATTCGATCCACCAGCGAATCAGATCGGTCCGAATCTTCTACAGAACACTAATATTTAATATTTACTTCCAACAAAGATACAGCCACCATCCAATTATCACTTTTTTGACCATGTTGAGATCTCCGATAAGGCAATTGGTATCTATCACAATCGTAGTATATCCTGCAAGGCAAAGGTGGTGTTACATTTTTCGTTGCATGAGAGGTATTTTTCTTGGAATTCTTTGACGAAAATTTTTATGTTGAGGAATCTCACGAGTTGCAGCTAAAAGATTCTCTAATTCTTGTTTGCGAGACTAAATCGAATGGGTAACGTAATATCATGTATATAGCGTGAATATTTACATAAATATTTATATAAATAAAGACATACTTTCAATTACATAATCCTTTCATCGTCTGACTCATTGTGATCACTAATGTATTCATTATTGGAAAAATCTGTAGATTTCGTTGTAACAGGACTAGTTTCATCATCTTCAGTATATAAATTTGAAGGATGTTCATTTTCCTTGTCAGAAACTTCATCAGTAAATTCTACCAAAAACTATACTCAAAATTGATTCAAGTTTGATGCCTTAATGAGTGCAACAAAAAAGCCAATTCAATTTGCAATTCAAGATAATAATAATTAACTAATTTAATTAATATATATATTGGAACCTTTTTACTAATTTAATTAATTTCTTGTTAAATAATTATATACCTCAATATAAAACAAAAGGCTTTTATACAACTCAAAAAACAAAATAAAACAAAATAAAATAAAATACAAGTAAAATTTACTACATATTTAATAAAAATAAAAATACAAAGATTTTACTTTTTTCACATCACTTGTTTATCAAAGAAATAAACAAAGTTGAGGATCATGCTTATAAGTCAAGAACTAAGAATTGAAGCAATATAAATTACATAAACATATGAAAAAAAATCTTATTAGAAATATCTCATAATTCAAACAAATTTACATATCAGGTCCATTGTTAATTGGAACAATGCCATATGGATTGATTTGCTTATGGCTTTGGTAGTAATGATTTTTGATGTGTGTCATATTAACAGTATCAGCAACTTAAAGAATATTAAGATTGATTATTAGTGTACATTAACCAATATGAATTAATTTGATATATAATATAAGAAGTAAAGATTTACCTTTAGGCATTTTATAAATTTGCCTAGCCCAGCGAAGAATGTTTGGATAGTCATATTTAATAGATTTTAAATTTGTTTTAAAATGCGTATGATAAACTGGATCAAATCTATGTAATTTTGAATAAGTAAAAACTATTGTATTTCTCTTAATCGTGAAAGTTTGAAAATTTTCAAAATATACACCTAACAATAGTGGTCCAAAGTCGGATATCTGCTTCGGTAAAGGTGTTTCCAACAAGGAACTCATTTTTAGAAAGAATGGCTTCCACATTATCCAATGCTTCAAAAAGATTTTCAATATTATTATTATCTGTTGATGAAAAATGCAAATAATTAATTTTATGAATAAATAAATATATATATTTATAAATTGTGTACGTACAAGCCTCTTGGGTTGTAGCAAATCCACATTTATAAACACCAATGTTAATTCTATCATAAATCCAACTATTTATGTTATCAATTTCACTTTCAAGATGTTTTGGGTAAAAAGTTTTACCCTTTGTTTCTGGGACAAATTCATCGAACACATCATTAAAAATGCGGATTATTTCACTGGATTCATTGTTAACTATGGTAACAAAAAGTCAGAGTTATTTTTGAATGAACTTGTTATAGTATATAATAATCTCAATATTTACCAATTGTTTGCAATTTTTTATCCCAAAGAACAGGAACAGTATATCTAAAATATAATATCTCTGTTATTGAAGTTATATTAAAAAATTATATGCGCGAATTTTGGTTTCAGACCTTCCATCGTAATCAGGATTAGCCTTAAAATATAATTCTCGGAGATATTTAGCATTATTTACAGTGTCTGGAATAGATCCAGGAGTTTCCTCGGGAGTGCTAAATTTCCACCCACCCTCACCCAAAAAGGAATCAACAACGCTCAATCCAATAACGTCTTCAAGACCTTTCAACGCACGTACAGTGACAGTTCTGTTGGCCTGTTAGTATAGGACGATAACAAAAAAAAAAGTTTAATTCATTCATAATAATAACAACAACAACAATAATAATAATAATAATAATAAATTGAACATAAATATAAACGTACAAATGGACAAGCCCAGCTAATGTACAGATGATAACGATCCCTAGATAAGATAAATAGATACAATTTAAATAATCAACCACATCCAAATGTTAAAAACACCAATGCAATTAACTAACTTTTCGGGTTTAAAATTCGCATCATCTTTACTAATAGTACTACGAAAAGACGAAGGCTTTCTGTAATTAAAAGATCGTTGTGATTAATAGAATTTTTTTTTATTAATCTCTATCAATCTCGATCTTACAATAAATACATACATTCGCAACTCTCCATCTTTAGCGGTAGTAGCCATTTTACGAATGATGGATGTTTTTTTTATTAAATTGAAGGCAATTGGTAATGAAAAGACTTTAAAAGACATAAATCAAATTAAAGGATTTTTATGACCGTATAAATACGTAAATGTTTATGAACCAAATTGTAGATATCGATATTTGTGTCATCGTTACTAATATAGATATGGATTATTAATACGGATTTACTAATTTTGCATACAAACTTTAAAAATCGCACAACCTCGATTTATCAAAAATTATTATATGAGAGAGTCAAGATTCTCTTTAATTAATAATCCTAAATTATTAGAATAAAATGAATTTTGATAATCTTAGCCACTGTAAAATTGATGTGATCAAATACTGTATGCGTAAAGTTGATCGTTCTAACTTAATGTTAACGTTAAGGGATATTATGTTGAATCGGGATATCTCATGATCCCGTGATCGTAATTACGTCCATTCAATGAGAAGAATCGAATGTTATAATTTCGTCTCATGCTGATTACGGTATCGAGATACTTTATAATATCTTTAGCTATAGTATTATGTGAGTGTCGCTAAGGGAAAACCAGCAATTCTAAAAATAGATTTATTATAAATTTCATCATAAAACTATTTTTAGAATTGCGGGGTGACACTCATATATATTGTAAGGCCCAATAACGTGACGTAAATACTCTGCCGGGCATCACGTGAGAGCGGGTATGGCAATCAATTCCGTGATATCGATATCCTGGCAATTAATCGCATTAATTCGATTAATTAAATATATCAAGGAAAGGGGATTTAATAGCGAAGGGAAATTTATTAAGTATAAGGGTTTGGGTGGATAAATTAGAAAGATCGAATTAAATAAAGAAAATAGAGAAGCAAGATTAATGTAATTAAATAAGTAATAATTAAAAATTAATATAAATAAAGGCCGAAATGGCCCTCAGGGACGAGATACCTCGTTTGCTTTATTAAAAAACAAGTCCCAATACATTGTATCGTCCATAATAAAACCCTAACACTATACTCAGTATAAACCCTGTAAACCCTATAAACATCGTTGTTCGTTCAAGTTCTTGTTCACGTGACTTACCTACCCTTTGTTGAATCCAAGTAACAGAAAGCCTTAATCACCCACCAGCCAAATCTAAAACCCTCTTTCGTAAAGGTTACCTATCGTACGTTACACGAGATTTTGAATTGTGGAGCAGTTTTCCGAACCCAACAATATGAAAATTTTCAAGACTCTAATCCAATTAAGCGATTCTTATACAATTAGATTCTTCTCATTGAGAGGAATCCAATACTACGTACTTGGAAATCAAAAATAAGATTTTGAGAGATAAAAAAAATTATGATGCTGAAATAAGAGTTAAGTATCAAAGACTACATTACTTTCTCAATTATTTGCTTTATGACACATCCTTATTATAGCAAAAATACTCTATGTGCTCTAGGTGCGACCTCATTAAATGCAACATCCTTCTAATTGATACCCTCGTTAATATCAACCTAAGCCACATGGCAAATTTTTATAAATTTTTATATATTAATATATGACAACTTTAATATGATTTCTCATTAATATCACTATCAACATACGAGGGTGATCTGTATTTTAAGGCTAAATTCATCTTAATAGTGACGCTTTTGATTAGCTTATATAATTGATTACATTCATGTTAAAATTTTATATTCATGTAATATAAAACATTAAACAAATTTATACTATGAATATAACTTGTCAAGGCAGCTCTTGAGAAATCTGTTAAGCGACATATAATAATTACCAAATTTCTCCAGTATTCATACTCTTTATCCGAATTTTCCTATATGTTCTATATTCAAACAAGTGTAAAACAACATTTATATATTTATATAGCTATTTTCTTATTTTCAAATTGCTAAAGTTTCCTATATCTATACTGTAAAATTATCTAATAGTTTTTTAAAAACTCATGGATAAAAGATTTCAATAACGAATTGAAAAATTTGTATTGACAGATGTATATTTCAGTATATTTACGAAGTTTAATTGTAAAAAAAAAATTTGGAGAATCCGAAATTTCTTCAATATGAACGGTATTCGATTATTTGATTGTATGTATATGAGCAATTCTCACCCTAATATTTTGCAGAACTCTGGCTGAAATTGTGCCTAGCCAAACTTAGACACTTGAATTATATCTTACACAAAGCAGCAATTTCGTATGTACGTGTAAGGGACGATGATATTTATTTTTCCGTTAAAAAAAAATTAACACATTGTTAGCTTGCGACATGATATATTATCAAATACATATTGCTGCTATCGAAGATTATCAAACATATTATTAATTTTTTGGTAAACTATCTTCGGTGTCAAGACTAGTGTTGTTATTTTTGCCCTGACGAAATTTGCATGAATTGGAAAAATATTTAACATCATTATAGCTTAAATGATGAGGTCAGATAATGTGATTCTGTGTTTTCCACCCTCCCTTCTCCTTTGGGGAAAGAAAATTTCTCTGAAATGTTCTATAACTATATAAAATTTTCGAAATAGCCTGCAACTCTATATATAATTGCCCAAACATTTTTACTGAGAGAGCAGGGGTGAAAAAAATTAAGTTGTTTTGGCATAAATATTATACTACAAGGCCAATAAGTTTTTTAACGATCAGTAATGTTATAAAGAATATATACAAACAAAATTGTATCTTTAGTTAATGCATTTCTTTTTAATCATTCTACGTACGTAGTAATTTTTCGACAATCACTTTCTCAATTGTTGAATGGCATCCGTGCAAATATGCATGCAAATACATATGGCAGTAAGGTACTGTACTATGGTATATGGTAATATGAGACAAACACAGATGTGTAGAAATTTAGTTCGCACGTATCTATGTAAATACTTTCTAAAATTATTTAATAAACCTACACAATGCGCAGGGGAACAAAAATAAAACTTATTATTGGCTATATCGCATCCAATAACTACGTATATATTATGAATACAGATTTATAAGTAAAATGTATCATTGTCCGAAGCAAGAGGCCAAGCGACACTCTCTGTTACACGTTTAAATTGAATTAACCTTACTTTAGATCGTATCGCCCATGATAAATCATGTAATATTAAGAACTGTGTAACTTTTTCAAAGGAATTGATGTCGATAATTGCAGAATGTTCCTAATTTTTCGTAGTTTATAGTTTATAATTTTCAATGGCTACCTATTTATAATCTTTATTAAATAATGAAGAGATCGTCAATAATGAAATTTTTTAAAAAAATAAAATCGAAATTGTTTTAATACTATCGGAATAATGGTATCTTAATTTTACTAACGCTAAGAAAACAGTTTGTCACTATATTTTTTAGTTAAACAGTTATCATGTATGATTCATTGACTAATCGAGTTTTAATTCAGCTTGTTTTTTCGTTCCATGATGAAATACATTCTGTGATCGTAAATAGAAATCAGTTAAGAACGAATAAACATTATCTGAATGGATAGGTGGTACATTCGCTGCACCATTGACAAACTTTCTCGTTCAAATTCATTGTTCTAATAGTTCTATCACTTTGTTTGATATCTTGATACGTATTAAACTTACTATCCTTAATTATTATAAGCAAAATTCACTAAAATATTATTGTAATTTTGTTAAAAAAAATTAATATTTGGAAGAAATATATAATACATAGAACGTTTAATTTTAAGAAAATTAATTTAAAAATAAATCAATAAAATTATTTATTAATTAATTGTAATATATCATAAATAATACAAAAAGTAACAATTGTTAATAATACATTTTTGTAAAACTTTTAACTGGGAATAAGATTGTTTAGCTTTGAAAAACATAATTTAAGCAAGGTTTATTATTGAGATTTTTTAAATTTAAATTTTTAAGCTTTAAACACTATAAAAACTTAACAATAATAAAGAGTAATAAATACAGTTTAGAGCAACGTTGTTAAACAACTTGTTCATTGGTAATTGTCGCATCTATTTATAATATTGTTAATTGTCAAATGTGATAAAAAGCATAATAAAAAGATGTGACAATTACCAATAAACATGTCAATTTAACAACACTGGTTTAGTGTAAAAAAAAAGATTTGCTACTTCAACCACTTAACGCTGACTTAGCATTTATTTATTACACACACTTATCGTTATTACATTTGCAAATCCATTTTGCCAGGTTTGGAATAGAAAAACTCTGAATCTGGCCAAATTTGACCAGAGTTAAGGTAATTAGTTCTACTACTCAGATCGTATCCATAATGGATATCGCTAGTTGAGGTTTGAAAAATTCAAAACTTACTTTAGTGTCTATTAATATTTCTATGTTTCTAAATTTGTCAAACAAAAACATTAAATACATGGACGAGGGATGACAGTAATTTAGTGATTTTTTATATCGATATTGTCACACATTGTGAAATTTACTGTAACTTGTTTATATCATTATTACGTACGTATGTGCATACTGCCACGTTATTCTATAAAAGGCTGCACAACCATGTTAGACTATGATTTTCCCGGTTATAAATTTTCATTTGATTTATTTGATTTGATTGATTTGATTTATATAACAAATAAAAAAATGTTAGAATTATCTCCACGTCCATCATCATCATCTATAGGTATTGGTATTTCAAGACTAATAGGTCAAGAAGATGAACCTCTCGAGTTAAATCCTTCGAATGTAGTAAATAACGCCAGCAACATTGACGTAACTAGTGGTGACCATTTAACAAATCATTTATATAATCAATCAAATGGTGATTTAAGAAGTTCTCATGGAACAAGTAGAACGATTAGAATGATTTTGTTAACTCAAAGTATTGCTGCGTGTGTTGAATTATTTTTAATTATTATCACTTTTTATTTTAATTTCTTATTTTTGCTTTGTTAATAAATCTAATCAATACTTCATCGTATTATTATTTCTTTTTAAAAACAACAGTGTGCAATTTACTTGTAGGTAAACTTTGCATGCTTTTTGATACTCGCAGCATCTTATCTTTCTCTCTAAGCATACATTATTACGTTTAATTTTTAAGGGTCAGTAGAGTTAGCTTATGGTATATCATCCTTTTCTTACGTTACTCATAATTTCTTGTGTCAATTTACATTCTCGTTATTAATCTATGTATTTTATCTACTTTGATGATTATTTTGATGTTAAGGATCTCCATATTTACTTGACCTGGGGCTATCAAAATCTTTTATGTCTCTTGTATGGCTTGCAGGTCCACTGGCAGGTATGTTTTTTTTTTTTTTAAATTGTTAGTTTTCTATATCTTTTATATTTTATCTAATTTACCTGCCATTTAAAAGGTCTTCTTGTACAACCTTTAGTTGGCGCGCTTTCAGATAATTCAACTTCAAGATTTGGTCGTCGGAGACCTTATATTGTCGTTGGTAGTCTTGCTGTTGTACTTTCTTTTATATTTATTGGTTGGACAAGAGAAATTGCAAACCTATTTTTCACTAATAATGAATCAGTATGTTGTAAATATTAATGCAATACATTAAAAAAAAAAAATCATTAATGCTAAATTTATAAATTTAGGCTAACACCGTTGCTATGTGGTTGGCTGTCTTTTCCCTTTATGTTCTTGATTTTGCCATTAACGCCGGTATACTTTTTTCTCTCTCTATATATATATTTTATCATATTTTTATATTAATAATTAATTTTATTAATCAGTAATGGCAGGTTGTCGAGCTTTAATCGTTGATTCTTTACCACCTTCACAACAAGAGGAAGGTACTGCATGGGCCGGTAAAATGGTTGGAATAGGAAGTGTCGTGGGTTATTTTATGTATGTAATTAATAAAATTATTTTTTTAATCTTGTAAATTTTATCTATATCTTTAAATATAATGTATCAATTATAATTTTTGTCTTTTTAGGGGATATATTGATTTGGTGTACTTTTTTCCTTTCTTCGGTGGAACTCAATTACAAGTACTATGTGTTCTTGCAAGTTTAATACTACTCGCTTCTGATGCATTAACATGTTGGGCCATCTCAGAAAAAATATATAAAAACAATTCAAGGTGCATTTAAAAATTTTATTCATTATAATATTTGAGTTCTGAAGAGTGAATACCTGTAAGTAAATATTTAAATATTTATGTTATTACCATGGCAAACTTAACCCCGGGGTAATTGTAATCACATACAAATCAGTGAATCAGTGTCATTATTTAAGTAATTACTGTATAAGAACATAATTACGAGTAACATGATATAGAAACGACCAGGTCACTGATTTATTACAATCCTCCAGGGCTTAATTCGTCATTGCTGATAACTTAAATATTTATTTACAGGTTTCCTCTTCACCACTCATTTATATAATTATTTATCATGTTATTTGTAATATGATTTATAATATTATTCAAAAATATTTATAATCTTTATATATAGCGCATCGATGTCAATATGGTCATCTATCATAGAAGTATCTTATTCAATTGCAAAAGCATTTAATACTCTTCCAAAACAAATTCAATTAGTATGTAATGTTCAATTATTCGCTTGGATGGGTTGGTTCCCATTCTTGTTTTATTCAACTACTTGGGTAGCTGAACTTTATATTCATACAAGACAAACCCAGCCACCTTCTTTAAATTTAAGTGAAGAAGGTAAAAGAGCTGGTTCGTTTTCATTTTTATTATTTTCCATTGTAAGTATGGCTGCTTCATTTATACTACCTTTTCTAGTAACTTCTTCTGTTTCAATTCCTTTTAAATTTGATTGGAAATTATTTTTGAGATTACCTTGGGGTTTTTTATCTTTATCAAAATTATGGACTATATCCCATTTTATTTTTGCTTTTGGAATGTTATCTACTATGTTTGTTTCAAATATTTTTCAAGCTGATTTGGCTATTGCTTTATGTGGTATATCTTGGGCTGTTGCTATGTGGGCTCCTTTTTCAATTATCGGTGAATTTGCTGCAAAAAGAACTAAAATTGGTGGTACCAGTAATACTTTTCCTATTACTCCATCAACTACTACTTCTAGAAATGCTTCTTTAACTAGATTAGTTGGTCCTTTACATAGAATTGATGATGATGGTATTGAATATGAAGAATTAGAAAATATTCGTGAAATTTCTGTTATTGATGAAAATGATAATTCAGAAGATTTACAATTCTTAGATCATAATCAATTAGATGATTCTTCTTCTTTTAGAAGAGATAGATCTATTCGTAATGATCCTTCTAATTATGGTTCTGATGCTGGAAAATTATTAGGAATTCATAATATTTATATTGTTATACCACAATTCATTGCTACTTTTTTTAGTAGTGTAGCTTTTGCTTTATTAGAAGGTCCTTCTAATGATCATTTAAATGATGGTAGTAATGGTACTACAAATAATGATCCAATGCATTTAAAATCACATGGTGAATTGAATGCTGGTGCTGATTCTATTGGTTTTGTTCTAAGGTGTGGTGGTTGTATGGCTATTATTGCTGGATTTTTGAGTATGAGGTTATGGAAATCAAAATGAATTTGTTAAAAAAAAAAGTTTATTTATAGATTTTAGAATGTTTTTTTTTTTTTTTGGATGGAAAATAATTTGATGAATTACGTAGTATTTTTTAGAAATAAATTTTTTTTTTTGTTTTTTAATGTAATTATTTTTTTTTATCGTTAAAAAAACATATATAGTTTTCATTAATTAAAACATTATTAATTCATTTATTTTTCAAATCTATATAATTAGAAAATGATTTATTATTATAGACCATCGTTGCATTTTACTGTAATGTAAATTTACAATGTTAGATACGTAATAGCAACTAATATAAATCTTTGGCCAAACTATTTTACTTAAAATTATATTAGTTGTATTTCTATAATCAGACCCGAATGACCCGAAACCAACCCGGTTATAATGAATTTACTATATAGGTCATTACCCATCTAATAAATTTATTATAACCGGGTTGGTTTCGGGTCATTCGGGTCAACCCGATCGGAGCACTAATCAGAACAGTAAACGAATTTAATAAAATTCTTATTATCAAATATTAATTAAATCTAATTACTTTACTTTTTAATTTAATTATATATTGAAAATTACAAATTATTATTTGTAATAAAATTATGTATAAATAGTTGCACTAACATTCGCATGGAAAATAGCTTAATTAATAAAATTTTTGAGAAATAACAATATCGGTATATATACAACTACTTGTACCTTCATATACGTTTAGCCGTTTGACTCTTGTAAGTGCAAATCACTATAAAACTGCTTTATTATAAAACATTAATATTAGGTTCGGTGTAACAATATATAAAATAACGGACAATGTTTTCCGAAATAAAATTTTGACAAGGTTTTTTAGATACTCAATTATAGTTCATTAGCTTACACAAATAACTAAATACAAGACTTTTTATCTATATTAAATAATAACATGGAAAACCAACTCCAAAAAAAATGATAATTATATATGATATATCTAACTTATAAGCAAATATTTATATCGGCAACAAAATACTCATAAAATTTTAGTTAAATCGTATCGTTTTCTTATACACAAGATGTCAAATGAAAGTGAATCGTCTGAAAGTTATAACCAAAAGGTGTTTTTTCTCATTCAAACACATGCTAATATGGGTGATTCTGAATGCATGTATAATGTCGGAAACTGCTATACAATTGGATTTGGAGTTGAAAAGGATGAACATAAGGCATTCATTTATTATCAAAAATCAGCAGAGATGGGGAACGCTAGTGGAACATATAATGTTGGATATTGTTATCTTAATGGAATTGGAGTTGAAAAGGATGAACATAAAGCATTCATTTATTATCAAAAATCTGCAGAGATGGGGGACGCTAGTGGAATATTTGCACTTGGTAACTGTTATAGAGATGGAATTGGAGTTGAAAAGGATAATCATAAGGCATTCATTCATTATCAAAAATCTGCGGAGATGGGGAATGCTGAAGGAATGGACCAAATTGGAAATTGTTATCTTTTTGGGATCGGAGTTGAAATAGATGAACAAAAGGCATTTCTTTATTACGAAAAATCCGCTAATATGGAAGGATTATCCGCAATTTCTCAGGTTGGATATTGTTATAGAAATGGAATTGGAGTAATGAGAGATATAGAAAAGTCTAATGAGTGGTATCAAAAGTAAGATCCCATTTGAAAGTAATCATCATCTTTATTCATTCTAAATTATATTTACGAATGTTTTTGTTTGATTTATAATATAATAGAGAAAAGTCTCAGTTATCGAAGTTATCAGGTAGTTTATTATCAATTTATTTATTTGCTATTGTCATAATTTAAATATAACCATTGGATTTTTAGTGACAAATGGCGGGATAAATGAAATTTCCGATATCGATGATAATTTAAAAAACATATTGATTCATGATAAAAACTCATTATTATGGATTCCTTATAATGAATTTGAAATTCTTATGGAGATAGGAAAAGGCGGATTTGCAACAGTATACGGAGCTAAGTGGATAGACCGGAATCAAGGAGTAAAATACAGTGTTGCGCTTAAATTATTACATGGATCAAACCAATACCAGGATTTATCAACGAGGTAATATTTTTTAATCTATTACAGTTTATGTTTTTATTCTTTAATTTACATTCTTTAAATATTAAGTTAAAAGGATATTGTGACATTGGTTATAAAAACCCTTCATTTATCAAATGCATTGGAATATCAAGAGATGATTTTTCTAAAGATTATATTCTTGTTTTGAAAGCTGCAGTGAGGGGTTCCTTGCGTAATAATCTTCACAAAATAGCGCAAATGACGTGGAGAAATAAATTAAATTTATTACTTTGCATTGCATCAGATCTTCAGATAATTCATTCTCATGGACTTATTCATCGAGATTTGCATAGTGGTAATATTTTGCAAGATAATCTATATAGTGCATATATCGCTGATTTAGGACTTTCAATACAATCCAATTCAGCATCTAAGATGGGATCAGAGGAAGTTTATGGAGTTTTACCATACATTGCACCCGAAATTTTTGACAAAAAGCCGTATGCTACAGCATCTGATATTTACTCATTTGGCATAATTATGTGGGAAATTTTATATGGAAAATTGGTATATTGGAATCGAGAATTTAATAACCAGCTTCAAATAGAGATATGCTGTGAAAACTTAAGACCAAATATAGTTAAGGATACGCCAAAATGTTATATAAATTTAATGAAAGAGTGTTGGGATAAATGTCCAGAAAATCGTCCAACTGCGGACGAAATTTATGATATTTTTATGAAATGGAAAGATGACGAAACAATATTATTAGAATTATCGAAATCTGGAAAGATATTTTGAATACACATGACCCAACTGTCATTGAATCGAACTATAGAAGTAAATCTTATTGCTCTACAGATCGTGTTCTCGGATTATTAACAAATAATAACGCTTGACTCCGTATAATCAAGGTTATTAATTCTGGATATTTGAACCTATCAGATTGTATTTGACATAATTTATACCTAAAATTCCGTCATTGTTTATATTAGACAACTAGCTAGAGAATTTTTATTAATCAGTGAGAAGTTGTGAAGCTAAAGAAGGCTGGTGAAACTGGTGGCTATCTAAAATCTGATTGGCTGCTATATTAAATTTCACCAATTTCATCAGTTTCACCAACATCTATAGTGTGAGGATCCCTCGATTTCTATGCATTTTGATAAACGAATACTGTAGATTCCAAAAACAATATATTTTGCAATGGAATTCTAAATATAATTATTCAATTTCTATTAAATAAATATATATATATGGATTAAATAACATTTATAAATTATAGTTTTGTCACTTTTTTTTATTGAACATTTCTTGTTAATAAGTCTGCTAATTGATGTGAATTTACAAACCGAATTGCGTTAACATATAATTGAAGATTGCCCTACATGCCTTATGAGAACGCTGAATGATGATTGTATCAGCCACCTCTGAATACAAATTTTCACTCACCTCTTAAGAAGTGAAAATTGTGAATTGGTATTAGAAAGAGCCGAATAAGTTACATAAAAATAATCAGTGTTGCGTCAGAACTGTATTATTAGGCAACCCGAAAATGTGTACCATGTTGCGCCTCGGATTGTCACGTGATAGTCCGGAATCGATAGTCCGAAATCGATAATGATAACCGGAAAACTTTTAAAGCATTCGTTAATTATGTCTACTGATTTTTTTTCTTTTTATTAATTACTTCGCAAATATTACAATGCATAATATGCATACATTTATGAAGCATTAAATACTATATTAATTTTGTTTATTTGCACTAATGTTTTTCGATAAATTATATAATTTTTTTGGAGTTTTTCTTTTCTTGCGTGCCTTCATTATTGTCGGATCGACATTTTATTGAGGAATCTTGTGCTTTCTTCATTGGACTGATGCTGGTTGCACTCGAATCTTTGCACCACTTTGTAATGATTCAGCCTTTATGGTAGAATTCCATTGATAAAGATAAGCAACCAGTTTACCCGATGATAAAGATTCGGCTTTTTCATATTCTTTCTTGAAATTTTCAATACCAGCAAGTAATTGTCTATTTTGTTTTATATCATCAATAATATGTTGAAAAAAATTTTCAACCTCTACAATATGAGCATTCTTATCTTCATTGTTATCAAATCACTTATATATAACAAAAAAAAAAAGAAATTGTAATTTAGTAAAATGTGAATTTATACAACATGTATGATCATTATTATCATAGTACCAAATAATATCATTTACACCAGATACATTTGAGTATTGATAGTTTAAATTTGCATTAGTGTTAGTGTTTTCACACATAATTATTTGACTATTATTATTATTTTCAGGTATAGTAGGTGCCCGTAAAGATACATAAAATGAGAAATCTTGTGTGATGGAATCTTATAAATATTTACCAATAGTATTAGATATAATAACAATAAAGAATTGTAATTAATATTTACTTAGTTACTTGCCACATGTGATATAATAATAATCTATACAATCGTTAATCAATAGAGCAGGAATAAAATTAAAAGATCCTTCGTGATACTTAATAGCAACAGCAGCTTAATGCTTACAAGATGATTTTCTAAAAGCAGTTAAACATGTACAGATACCAATAGATGGATCAATAATATAAAATTTGCCAAGAGTTGTTACACTTGGTACATTATATACATGATTGGTATTATTATAATGAATTTTTTTCTGATTTATGTCTCTTTAACTGGGACAGAGAAACCTTTTTGTCAATTCTAAATGGCCTAGATGCTGATTAACAATTCCTAAAATTCATTATCCATAAAAGCATTCCATGTTTGTTACAATAAACTGAAATATCTGAACAGCATTATATGCTTGAGTTCTTCCAAAAATAATATCTTTAATAAGCCCAAAGCTCTGTTCTATATAATTATTAGTATGATTTCCATGTAGCATTAAGTTTTTCCAAAATAATAATGTCCAGAAAGCCCATCATTCCCAAAGAAGTGTAAAAAGTGATACAAGTAATTTATATTTAGTAAAATATTGGTTCTTAAAGTTTGAATATTCTTCTATTTTAGAAATAGTAGGTGCATATAAAATAGCTTTTAAGGAGTGCATAATCAAAATTTGGTCATTCTTTTGAATTTGATGGTTTGAATTGTAAAATCATCGTCAAAGTACCTATAAACATAAAAAATACATAACAGTCGAATACATGTAGGTCAACAAATTTCTAAAGCATTTTGTTCAGTACTAAAATTATCTGTTATAATTATATTAGGACCAACTTGTGACCTGCATCCATAAAATGCATTATGTGATAGTATTGTTTTAAACAAATTAAGGGCATTTTCTATTATAACTTCAACTTCGTCTGATGTTAAAAATATTCTCAATAGTAAAGCACTGATAGAACAACTCATATTGTGTTAAGAGGATCAAATAAAGAGGATGCATCTAAATAACAAAGCTCCTTAGCCTGACAAATTTTTTCATGTATCCTTTTCATTAAACCTATAACAATGCAGAAAATAAAGGAAATGTTTTTTATTGAATTATAAATCTGAAGAATTGCTTTTCCATTGTTTGAATTATATATTCAGTAACTATTTCCTGTAGTCACTCAAATATTCCATTCCCATTTTTGTTACCAAGTTGTGTAAGCCAAAATTGATTATAAAGATGTTGCAAAAAACCTCCATCTGGATTATTTGCTTGATCAGCTAGTAGACATACAAGCTCATCATCATTTGATGCAGATAAGTGTAACTTATCTTTATATATATGCCTTGCTGTAGCTACCATATGTCCCATACTGAATAAATCTATATAACTCTTTTAAGTTTTATACTAACTGGGTGAAAACTAAGTGATGCAGCTGAACTTGGTAAATGATTATGTATATAATGAAGGTTAATTTCAAGTAGATGTGAACTTTCAATATTAGATGTTTCTAATTTAAAGGCAAGTGTTGCCATACAATTTGTATCTCTATTTCGTTGGCTATTAAGATTTTTGACATTATGATTTTTATTCTTTTGTTTCACTATATGACAGTGAATACAATGTTGAGTCTCTCTAAAAATAACTTTATTTCCTTTTACAGAAAAGGTTTTAGTTAGTCGCATGGTGGTCTTTGATATCTCTTGAAATTCGTCTAACCAATTTAAAGCGCCCTTCTTGCTGTTAAGATCTACGTATAAATCTACATTAAGCTGTCCAATATTTACATTTTCAGACGTGATTATAGGCTCAAGTTCAGTATAATTTTTTATTTTATAAGTATTATTTGGTGGAAGGATTTTTTGGAGTGAAGTCGGCAAATCAGCCAAGTTTAACGAATCAGTTTGCATTGTAATATACGAAAAAAATAAAAAGCGAAATAAGAATAATATAAAGCGAATATAAATAAAATTAATAAAGAAAAAGATTAGTTATTATAAGTAAAGTTTATTTTATTAACTACTGATATCATTAATGATAGCTTGAATCGTTTGATTGAGTTTCCGGACAAGCACGTGATCATCCGGAACGGAACCTGATACACATTTTCGATTTGCTATTATTAGGTCGGCTTTCATATAATTGGCTGCAAGTCTATATTATTGCATGAGTCATGTAACACCCGTGCAAATTCGACAAGCTTATTTTAATCTATACGATTTTCATCAGTAAAAATTGCTTATTTCGAATTCAGGGCTGGGAAACATAAAATAGGCATGCATTTTTGAGAAAAATCTTGAATTCAGGGATAAATTGAAAAATATTTTTTTAAATTCTTAAATTAATTGGGTAAAAATTCTTGAATTTAGGACAGGCAACATAAATCGAAAGGAATGTTTTAAAACAATTCTTGAGGTTGGAAAAACGTAAATCGAGCAAATTCAGGGTTAGAAATAATAAAGAGTGTTAAGAATCTTTTTAAATTCTTAAATTCAAGGCTAATAGACAAGAATTTTTTTTAAAAGATTTTAAATTCAATGCTGGAAACCTTAAAAAGGCATGACTAATATTATGTATTAAGATGTTCTAATATTTTACTTAATAAAGTCTTTTTTTATATTATGATTCAACGTTATTGTTAAGAGCTTATCAGTGGTTGAGATGTGCAATATAATATTTTGCGTATTCAGGTCAAGAACTTATTGAGTTGGTTGTGCTTTGGAGTATTTTGCGCTTGTGATTGAACTTAAGATTGCTTAGATTATTTGATCTTGCGTTTGAACTTGAAGGCTAGTTTGCTCTTAAATGTTAGATTTTGATTTATTATTTTGCTGATTATTTGCCAATGATCATTGCGACTTTTTTAAGAACTTGTCGAATCCATTTAGTATTCTTCTCTTTGTTAGTGACCCAGGATAATTTAGTGAAATTCCGAATTTCTTGTAAATTGTCATATTTTTTTAAATAAAATACAGTCACCCTCTTCAATAATTATGCTGTTTTACATAAATATATTGCCAATACTTTTTCAAGAGTGTGATCCTATTAATGATAATAATAATAATAATAATAATAATAATAATAATAATTATTATTATTGGTCTAACAAAATTAGCATGTGATTCTTTGTCCCTATATTGAACTGAAGAATTTCATACCACGGACATTCTTATATAGATGCTAATATGATCTTGAACTAGTCAAAATCTCGAAAAGTTAGTTCTATTGTTAACATTAATTATAGCCATGTTTTTGGGATCTTTGCTGCTGGTTGTTGGGATATTAGTTTTATACAGTTATAGATGTACAGCGTGGAGAAAAATTATTCATAATTTCCAATTTTAGGAATTTTAAAATATTTTATTCATTAAAAAATATTACCAGTAATGTTGAAGTCCAACAAACATTAGATAGAATTATAGCTAATATTTATCTAATCTGGCAAGATTTTGACTGGCTCTGTTTACATCTAGATCAATAATATAATTTATTGGATTTCTAAAAAAAATTCGCGCAAGAACGAATACAGACTTTATTTGGCTGAAATTTAAATCATATATTTTTAGTAGATGTAATGAATCAATTATTTGTAAAAATAATATTTCACCTAAGTGCAGTAGTTAAATTGCCTCTAATTATCTTGAACTACCTGAATTACCGTTTTTAATTTCTATAGATCTATATTAAAATTATTGGGAATACCAGCAGAAACTAAGAACAGCGTTAAAAAGTAATGCAGTCAGAATATCTATTTGATATTGAGGGATATTTGCATCATCACAGGGAACTCCTCCAAACTCGACACCATAAATGGTCTGAACATGCAAAGTATCTTTAAGATACGCTTGTGTAATAGGGTGAAGAGGTGCTGTTCCGAAAGACTTCACAATTAATGGTATGGTTGGATTTGAATCATTACGCAGGTAAAGCAATGCAAGAAGCGCAAAAGTACCATCCGGCGAGAAGGAAATAATTTAATAGCAATATAAATTTGAATAGTGGTACATTGAGAAAATTAGTTTGCTACTTTATCATGTATATGGTTTAAGCTTTCGGTACTCCTAATTTCCGCCACCAGAGTTGGGTATGGATTTCCCGTTGAGTTGATTGCTTATGCGAGTTGAGGTCGTCGGCGATTTATTGGTCGAACACAAATATCAGGATGATAGATACTATCCGCACCCACAATAATATCTATTTCACCAAAAACCAGCAACTGATCATTCCAATTATCCATAATATCAGTTAACTTTCCTTGTACCGCTTCATGAAGGTCGAGAGGCATTTCATAGGCTTTAATCTCTCCATCGATCAAATGGTGTTTGACAGAAATGGGTGGTTCTCTTTTACAAAACTTAAGATAAGTTTTAAGCGGTACTTCTTTGTCAATAATAACTCCCTTTCGGTTTATTTCTTCAATTCCTTCTTGTCGACTAATAGTAAGAAGTTTGTGTCTTATTAAATCCAACGCCTCAGACCATTTAGGAAATTATTCACTCTGCGAGTAAAACATAATTTTCAAATGATGTGAATGATGTTTTTATAGAAAAAAAATCCAATTTTGACTTTTAAATAATTTTGGTCGTATATGATTAAGTAATACAGGAATGAGACTGACTCTATTAAAATTATAATTCTTAGGCATAACGATAATATCGGTGGCCCGATTCAATTTTCATACGCATTCGTTGAATTTTTCCAGATCCCTGCAACTATTTACCTCAATAGAAACTGACTAATTGATGGATCCGACGAGCCAATTTTCTGGACTTTATAGTGATCAAAAGTATTACATGTTATCATCTGTCACAAATATAAAATGCTGTATCACAAAGTCAAAATTTGATATTTATTTTGTTGATAGGTGAGATTTCTGTAAGAAACCTTGTTTTTACGTAGAAGACAGTTTTAGACAAATTTTTACGCTACAACCGATTTTTGGTTGCAGGAAAAGTTTTTAGGATGGTGATTAATTAAAATTAAAAACGGTGACATTTTGTGGTGCAAAAATTATGCTGACTGTCGAGTCAGCATTTTAGCATATAGATTACTTAATCAGGTTTTTATATAAAACATTGTGATATTAATAATTTTTATTTTATTTGTTTCGTTTCTAATCAAAATGGTAGAAAATGATGGCATCTCTAATTATGTTCATCAAAAGTAAGAATAAACCTTTTTACAACTTACTTATCTAACGTCGAAAATCTAAATACAAGTAATTTGTTTTAAAGGATCAAAATCAAAAGTGCATTTCTATATCTATTAATAAAAGTAAAAATATATAATTATTAATCAAGCCAAAAAATATATGAAAGACTTTAGTAAACCTGCTAATTTAGTTTGTTAATGACTTTGAAATTGAACTACTAGAGAAAATATTTGATTACAGCACTTTTCAAATTAGTGTGATCACGGGAGTCAGGAATCTGGAAAAAAAATGATAATCTATTGATTGGCTAAAATTTATTCTATTGATTTTTTTAAATCAATCATATACAGTATAATTTGTATTTTTTTTCAGGATTCCTGATTCCCGGTGTGATACATGGAATTTGCTGATTACAGGAATTTGAAAAGCACTATAATGCATTCGAATTGCTTGGCAGTGATTCTACTTATAAAGGTCGCACAAGAAATATCATTACACAGCTTGAAGTTCATCTTAGCACATTAATAACGATCTTAGAAAGAGCGTGCGATTTTCCAATTGTTTTAAGACATAAAATTCGTGAACTGTAAAAATTTGAGTATCTTTGTTGATATTCACCATAGTGCAATAAACATACTTAAGGATTTCATTAACCGATGTAGAAATCTAAAAGCCCCACAGAGAGATCATGTTGCTACACCCGAAACTAGCTCTTATAGGTTCGGTATAACGGTTTACTTTAGTGACGACGCAATTGATAATTTTATGGAGAATTTACAAATAAGGGCCCAAAATGAAAATAATTACAGATAGAGGCCTGATATTTGAAATATCATGGTTAATTGTCTTATTTCGTGATTAAATAGGTGTTTTAGAGTTATCGTTCATTACAGTCAGACCTCTCTAT